GATGTATTTTAACAAGAGCTCCTTTTTTTAAATATTAAAAGTTCCTATTAATCTTGGCTTCTTGTTGAAATGTGTTTTTAAAACACAATATTTTATTTATATTTGGTTTCCTTTGGCACTAGCAAATTTTACTTTTCTCAAATTTAGGTCTCAAAGTAGGAACAATAGAACTGTTAAGATATCTTTTTATGTATAATCCATTTTTGGGTCCTAGAAAGGCCCCTGGGTAACACATTTGCTCCTTTATTTTACTTGAAGAAATGGAATAAGAATAATAAAAATAATCGTCTGTTTGTCAGTCTCAAAATTTGATTATTTCAGAATACTGTGAGAACACTTGTTTATCAAACTTAAGTTAAAAGAAAAGAACTGATAAGTCTAGAAGAAAGTACATTTTCCTAGGTTTATTGATATATAAGTTAAATAATATAATGTAAATATGTTACAATGATTGTATACTTTTCAGATTTAAAAAAGGGTACTCATGTTTAAGCACAAAGACTGGTATAATAATTATTTATGAAAATATTTTTGCTACTAGGATTCTAGATTTCAATACTCTTGTCAATGATGGCACTTGGAGTGATGTCAAAGTCCTCACACTGTTTATCTCTTCCTCACGTGTCACTCTCCATTGCTGTAACACGCTGAAGCCAAGAGTGCTCCTTCCTCCACTAAAAAAAAAGAGAATCCCTGAACGTTTTAATCTCAGTTAGAAAATTATCAATGCTTTACACAGACCTTTTGAAAATTCCCCTGGATAATTCTGATTCAATTTTGTTTTATAATGGTTTACACTTAAAAACAAAAACTTGAAATTATCAAGCAGGCTATAGAATTACAGATTTAAATTTAATCTTGGAACATGAACCTCTCCTTGAATTTAAATCAGTCCGTATGACTAAGAAAATTATCCTCATTTGGGCTTTCCAGGTAAAAAGAGATGAAGATCAACATTTAAACATTAAATGATCATGTTCCATGCGCTTGGTCATTGTTTGCTTATTTGGAGAACTACTTTTCATTGACAGCAGTATTAAATACCTTTATAAGGCTTTACTTTTTACTCAAAAGCTTCATTGGTCTCATCCTCAATCTTCAGAGAAAAGTAGAGAGAACAAATGGAATTCAAAAACCAAAAATTGGCAAATCTCTCAGAGCCTCTAGAACCTCCATGGCCTAAGGTATTTCCATAAGCCTTGATACAGACTCTCCTTATGGATTAATAACTGGCCACCCCACATATTTAGGGTACTTCCCTATTGTGAACAGATATGACTAGACACAACCAGTCTTATCATTAAACAGATACAAACAGTTTTTCTAAAATAATCTGTCAAGCACCCCCCTTCATAACTTGAACATGGAAATTTATTCTTCTCAAAGAACACCATAAAAAACTCCATCCTTTCCCTTCGAAGGAAAGAATTTTACTAGGTACTGTAACAACTAGCACAGCAGGAAAACTCCAAAGGTGTTGATCCTTGGATTCATGTTTCCCAATTAAGGAGACATACACCATCTTCTCTTGACCACTGGATATCACTGGGTTCTCCATTCCATTGGGAGACTTTAAGTTGAGGATTCTTAAGTGCCCTCTTAAGAGACAATTGTGTGGAGTATAAAACTTTTACCCAAGATGATAGAACAAAATTTTCTTACTCTCTATCATCTTATTTCTTTCCCTTTCTTCTTCTCTAGTCTTGCCTACCACTGTATTTTAACACTCCATTTTGACGGAGTGATTTCTCAACAAGCTCCCTTAAGGGAGCTATTCTTCAATTCTTTTTGACACCCTATGGTCATTTATTACTTAAGGAAAAACAAAATTTCCTTGTACATTTTCTTCATACCGGAGTTATTACTTTGAATTAACTGATGGTAACTCTATTATCTCTGATCTCTTCTTGCCATTGAGCATCTAATAGCTGTTCTCTTTGAAACATACCTTCTCAACAGGATTGACACAACCCTCAAGGGTGCAAAAATCAGTTCTTATGGGTTGAAAATGTCTTACTCTTTTGATGTACAAGCATGGTTATACATACAGTACATAAACAGATACACAGTATATATCTATATCTATGGTATTAAGATTGAGAGGGTATGGCAAATAGAAACAAAACACCTAAAAAGTCTGTTTAGAAGACAAAATTGAAAAAATATTGAGAAACATTGCTAAAATATTTCAGAATGCAGATTTTCTTTTACAGATCTTGTATGGTACTTAAATTACCCTTACATTATTAATTCCAACCTTTATACCAATTGGACCTTGACCCTACCCCCAACAAAATACTTCTATTGAGGTCATTGTATCCTTACCAGATAAACCCAACCCATCAGAAGTGAGTATAATTTCAGAACTATCATTGTTAGAATAGTCTGTCTTCTGTTCTCTCAGAAACACTCCAGCATGCTTTGCAGGAACTATTTAATTCTACTCATAAAATCTGACCTCCTTGAGGGACCAGTGATTGATTCACTCCAGTTAAAATGAAGGATACTTATCCTACCAAAGGGGATGTACACTTCTAGTGTACTGCTGCTTCTGTGGACATCACTTCTGCTCTTAAAACCCAGCAAAGAATTTTAAGTCCATTAGCCAAGTTTAGCATAGCCTATGATTTCCTCTTAAGGAACTCCCAAGAGGGTGTTGTGTTATAGCAAACACTTCTTTCTGTACCTCATATATGTGAACAGTCAAGTAAACAGCCCATGACTAAGCTAAAAGAAAAAGCCACTTGGCACTTTAAAACAGACCTGTAAAGGACATGTTTTACTGGTCTGGGTTTGATTATCCAGGTCCCTGGTTTCATGGTATATTTCAAGGACTAAAACAATCTTATTGTCTGTGTTGCAGCTGGCTATTTGCTTTCTATCCAAAGTCTTAGGTGCTATTGCACAGCCATTATCACATCATGTGATGCAACAACTTGTCTTGACAATAGCAGCATGATGGACTAACCCTAGTCCAACTACAAATAGCATTCTCTGGAAAATCTCCTGATTCACAGAATTTCAACAATGGTGAAGATCTGGATACCACAGATTAATGTCTTATGACTTGAATTCATCTGATTGACTTTCTTTCTTTCTTTCTTTCTTTCTTTCTTTCTTTCTTTCTTTCTTTCTTTCTTTCTTTCACAGTAACATTGGATTATAACATTATATAGCCCTCAGATGTACATCACAATATACCTTGAACACTGTGCAGATCACATCATGTTCACCACCCAAAAACTAATTATAATCCATCACCACACATGTGTGCCTAATCCCCACTTCTGCCACCCCCCACCATGGTAACCACCAATCCAATCTCTTCTGCTATGTGTTTGTTTGTCCTTGCTTTTATCTTCCACGTATGAGTGAGATCATATGGTATTTGACTTTCTCCCTCTGACTTATTTCGCTTAACATAATACCCTCAAGGACCATCCATGTTGTCACAAATGACCAGATTTCATCATTTCTTATTGCTGAGTAGTATTCCATTAGTATATATACCACATCTTCTTTATCCATTCATCCCTCTATGGGCACCTAAATTGAAAAGAAGACGTGAAACTGTCACTCTTTGTAGATGACACACTTTTATATATAGAAAACCTTAAAGAATCCATTAAAAAAGTTTAGAAATAATAATGAAGAAGTCACAGGATACAGAATCAACATACAAAAATTGATTGCACTTCTATACATTAATAATGAAGCAGCAGAAAGAGAAATTAAGAATACAATCCCATTTACAATTGCAACAAAAAGAATAAAATACCTAGGAAAAAACTTAACTAAAGAGGTGAAAGATCTGTACACTGAAAACTACAAAACATTGTTGAAAGAAATTGAAGGCGACACCAAGAAATGGAAAGATATTCCATGCTCTCGGATTAGAAGAAATAATATAGTTAAAATGTTCATTCTTCCCAAAACAATCTATAGGTTTCAATGCAATCTTGATCAAAGTTCCAATAACATTTTTGACAGAAATAGAACAGAGAATCCTAAAATTTATATGGAAAAACAAAAGACCCCAAATAGCCAAAGGAATCCTGAGGAAAAAGAACAAAGCTGGAAGTATCACAATCCCTGATTTCAAAATATAACACAAAGCTATAGTAGCCAAAACAACATGGTACTGGCACAAAAACAGACACACAGATAAATGGAACTGAACCAAGAGCCCAGAAATAAACCCACACATTTATGGACAGTTAATATTCAACAATGGAGCCAAGAGCATACAATGGAGAAAGGAGAGTCTCTTCAATAAATTACGTTGGGAAAACTGGACAGCCACATGCAAAAGAATGAAAGTAGACCATTATCTTACATCATGCACAAAAATCAACTCAAAATGGATTAAAGACTTGAATATAAGACCCGAAACCGCGAAACTTCTAGAAGAAAACATAGGCAGTACGCAATTTGACATCAGTCTTAGCCGCATATTTTCAAGTACCATGTCTGACCGGGCAAGAGAAACAAAAGAAAAAATGAACAAATGGGACTACATCAAACTAAAAATCTTTTGCACAGCAAAGGAAGCCATCAACAAAACGAAAAGACAACCTAACAATTGGGAGAAGATATTTGAATTCATCTGCCTTTAACCAAAAACAGGGGATTAAGATAGAAAAAAGCATCCCTGAGGGTTCTTCATCCCTGAGAGCTCTTAGCCAGTGTGCCCTGCTTAACATTATAATTTCACAGAATACAAACATTACACAATGTCACTCTGGAACCATGATAGAGTGAGACAAAAACGAGGCCACTCCTTGATCATAGCTAAGCACAGACAAAAATCGGAACACTGTGAAAACTACAAAAATAACTAAATTATCTCCCTCTCCCAGCTAACATAAGTGATTGCAGATTCTTTCCCCATTACAACTTAAGTCTTGCTATGTTCTGCCTGCCTCCTGCATTAAAACTATTAAGAAAGCTTCAGCAATTATACAGGGTTATACAAGTGAAAGGAATCAAAAACTCCAAAATTATACTTAAGTGAAGTTTTAATAAAGGAAAAAATCTGATACCACAGGAGAAAGAAAGCACAGGTAAACATCAGGAAGATCCTAGACGTCCATGCATATCTTCCAGGGTCTTCTTCCAATCATGCAGGACATGCTCTGTCTCTGGAACATGAACCATCATGTTGTGTGTGCAGTATCTCAGTCTTGGAGAAATCAAGACACAAGTTTATTGAGTGTTCTTTTATCCCTCTCTTGTCACATAGCCAAAACCTGTTAAACCTGGTACAGAACAACAATTTACACATTTTCAGTAAAAAATGTATTCAAGCTGATATAGGGCACATGCATGTGCTTTCTGGCACATTAAACATCACATTATAAATCATTAGCTAGTGCATTCATTCCTGCCTTGCCTATGTTTTCAGATGCCCCTGGAGATAATCACGGAGCTACCAAGGAACAGCTGCAGGTTAGCCCCATCCCTCTACAATGCTCAATAACCAAACTGCTCAGTGAACCAAAATGCTGATTTCTGGCAGCATCAAATCCAGAGCAAGCCTCACTTTATTGAACTTTCCCCCAATCACTTACCACAAAGCCAAATCCTCTAACAAGCCCTTCCTAATACCTTTCTATTGAAATGCTCAACTGTTTAGGATAAAATTACCTTATAGCCGAATTGGATAAAAAAATGTATAGTCTTATCTCTGGGGACTCTTGGTTGTCTGCCTTTGACTCTTGGCAAAGACAAGAGTAGTGGAATTGATAATGTGCTGTTTAAAGTTTAAACTCACATGGCAACCTCTAGGGCCAGTTGTTGACTCATGGTTTTCAACCGGCACAACCAGTTAGGTAGCCTAACTTGAAAACATGACCAGTGGGGAATAAAAACTCAGAGGGGAACTTCTTTCTTGAGCTTTCCCAGAACTACAAGTCCTTACACAGATCTTGGTAGTTTAATCTGAAGGCAGAACGCAGGTGATGTGTGAATAAGAACCCTGGGGAGATTGCCCTTGGAAGTCTCCAGGATCCCAAATGTTTGTCTGCATTCTCTTTTTCTTGTTGCACTGCCTCTGTGGCCTTTAGTTAAAGGCCTTACGTGAGTATGCTCTGTGAGTCTTAAGATTTCTTTCAAGTGAGGCTAGAAATAAGTCCATGCAAAGGAGCCAAGAAGATACAATGGGGAAAGGACATTCGCTCCTATAAATGGTATTGGGAAAATTGAACAGCCAAATGTAAAGGAATGAAACTGGACCTCTATCTTATACCATACACAAAACCTAACTCAAAATGGATTAAAGATTTGAATCTAATAACTGAAATCACAAAACTCTTAGAAGAAAACATAAGTGGTAAGCTCCTGGACATTGGTCTTGGTGATGAATTTTTGGATTTCACACCAAAAGCAAAGGCAACAAAAGCAAAAATAAACAAATGGGACTACATCAAACGAAAGAGCTTCTGCACAGCAAAGGAAACCATCAACAAAATGAATAGGCAACCTACCAGAATGGGAAAGAATATTTGCAAATCAAATATCTGATAAAGGGTTAATATCTAAAATATATAAAGGACTCATACAGCTCAATAGCAAATAAACCTCCAAACAATCCAATTAAAAATGGGCAGAGGATCTGAATAGACGTATTTCTAAAGAAGACAAACAGGTGGTCAACAGACACGTGAAAAGATGCTCTACATCACTAATCATCAGGGAAACGCAAATCATGGAGAAAATTCACACTACAATAGAGAGGTTAACATTCAAATAGGCATGCTGGAAAGTGGAAGAAATGCTGAAATAGAAAGAAGCAAAGACTGATCATTTGGGAGAAATCTAATTTGTAGTCCTGGCTCTGTCAATGTTTAATTTGTGACCTTACCTAAGTCAGGTGTGAGTAGCTCTCACATGTAAAGTGAGGAAATTGGACTCAGGAATCTTTGGCTTTCTTTCCACTTGTAAAAAGAGTCACTTCTCTTTTTGTTTGACTTGAATGTGGTAACTCTCTAACAGTGTACTTTCAGAGTCTTAGTCCTCAGAGACAATGACACTGGAAGGAAATGTCTGATAAACTCAACTGACATTCTGTTGCTGTGAATAGGTTCCTATGGAGAAGGAAACATAGTTCCTCTTAAAATATGTACATATGTGATTACAGATGCCATAAAACATCTCTGTGCACTCTGCTTGCAGTATATGGATAGGTGTTTCCAAAAACACATTATAGATATATTGGGTTTCTGTAGTTGTTACCATAGAGATACTTAATTAGAGCCAATTACTCGTCTTCCTGCTCCTATGCACTGCCATCCCATATACAAGCAAGGAGGAGAGAGTAATGTAACAAAATAATAAAGGATGAAAAGGCAGTAGGCAATAGGACATATGATGAGGACCTGGCAATTAAATGATAAATTTCTTTGATAAGAAAATGAAATAGACCTGGTTCTGAATGAATTACCCTGTGAACTTTATCTTTCTCACACAGCAGGCAATTCATCTTGTTCATGATCCTCTGGAACTTTCTGACATGCCACATCCGGGAGCCTGGTGATCTTTTACTGCTTTCCAGTTGCTTCAAAAGGAACTAGATCTTCCTCATTGTTAGAAAGCTATTTGCAGCTTCTTTTCCTCCTCAAAACTAAAGCCCATTCACTAGGAAAAACATACTTTCAAACTAAGTGACATATTTTATTGATTCAAAGTCCGTTTTTTCTCCTCCATTCTAATTTTTGTGGGTATAATCACAGAATTGTTGAATCCTTCTATTGGAAAGCGCATTTTGTGGCCATCTAGTACCAATATCCCAATTAACAGGAGAAATTTCTCCATGTACACTGTGTGGAGCATGATACAACTAGAAATAATTTTCAAGGGTTACATAAAAATTGATGAAAAAATTTTCACCAGTTCTGGTTCTCTACCTCTCTTTGTACCCATGCCCTTTGTAATATGACTTTGCATCTCCTCCTAGCAAGAGCAGAAGTCTGTTTCCCCCGCCCCTTGAATCTGGTCTGGCCTTTTTACTTGATTTGTCCAAAAGAATGTGGGGAGAGTGACAGTGTTCACTCACAAACCTAGGTTCCTCTACCCCTTGGAACTCTGCCCAGCCTCCATGTGAACCACTTGAGATAATGTGATGGAGAATAAGAAACATGTAGATCTGTCAGCCAACTGGACAATGAGTCAACTGACCCACTGGTGACTGACGTCACCCTGGACCAGCCAGTCCTCAGCAGATCAGTCAGTTGCCCACAGATGCGTGAGTGAACTCAGACAAAATCACATGAATTAGGATCAGATCAATAGAATCTTCCAGCTAAACTGTAGTCTCACAAGCAAAACTAAATCGTGTTTTAATCAGTTGAGTTTTTGGGTGGTTTGTTATGTAGTAAAACCTTAACTGATTCAAGTAGTAAGTACAGTTGTACTTCCTGTTTTAACTATAGTCCTATTTAGCATTATATGATTCCACTATTTAAATTTGAAACATTTTTGAATAATTAGGTGCTGATTTGTCTGTTCTGATTTGATTGGTTAGAAATTTTGGGGGTTATTTTGTTTAGCAATTATTTGTCTGAACTGTTTTTGTCTGTCTCTGGCTGATGACTGCAATGGATGTTCCTTTAGGAAAGAATACTAATAAGCCAGAAGCTGCTCAATTACATGCTAAGCCGGTGTGAAAATTTTACAATAAATATGATAAATAGCCCTAAAGACCTACATTTGTCTTAGCATGATAACAAAATTGAGAGAGAAAGAAATTGAAAATATATTTAATACAAAGAATATTAACCAGTTTGAAAGTATAACAAGATTTCATAGAAAACAGCATTTACTGAAGTCTGAACCAATCATGAGTAGCTCCAGAGAAGACAGACTTAATTTGAGTCAAAAAATATTCAAAGTTTTCAACAGGTAAAGAAGAAAATAAGGGTATTCAATTAGAAAAACAGTATGAGCAAAGCCATTTTTATCCCATATAGCATCTCCTGACACATTGTTTTATTAGCTACCTACAATTTCCTCCAAAGCTTAAGCTCTGACATGGAATGTTTATACTTCTTTTTGTGTCATCATCCATTCAATAGTCACTGAGTGCCTACCACGTGCCCGGCATTTTTCTAGGTTCTTGGGATTCATCAGTGAAGAAACAGGCAAAGATAACTGTGATTGAAGACTTTGCATTCTAGATCCACCCCTCCATTGGAGATTAGACAAAATCACTTAATCTTTAATTTAAACATCCTATATTCCCTTTAGCACCAGACAAGAAAATGAAATAAAGTAGTAACAATTGGATACTGTTTTTCATGCCTGAAAATAATTACTAATGAATAAAAATACCTGAACAAAAACTTGGAGAAGAAAATGAGCTACCTGAAGAGCAATTTCAGTCAAAATTGGAATTACCTTTAGGGATTATGCCTACTGAATGCCTTTGCCTTGGAATTTTTAGCCATGTAGCAGTTACCTACTTCCTAAAGTAGAACATTGAAAATTTCCCATGTAGCGCAAAAGATAAACCCAAAGCACACTGTGATTGTGCAGCATTCCAATGTTTATTTTGAAAGAGCCCTGATTGATTGTTTTGAGATCAAAGAGAGCAACTGGCTTCATATACCTGGGGGATCAGACTTGGGTCCTAGCTCTCTTAGTGAATCACCTCCCAAATGTTGACAAATCATTCTATGCTGCTTGTATTATTATTTGAAAAATGGTCCTTTTAGAAAAACTGCTCTTGTAACTCAGCCACCCTGCTGAGGTTCCAGGCAGCAGTCATAATCAAAAGCCACATGTGAGTGAGGGAGGCCTGGTGATAACTCCAACCCCAGTCACCATCTCACTCCAACTACATCAGAGACCCCAAGCAAGTACCGCCTAGGTAAGCCCATTCAATGCATAAATTTGAATACATAATAATTTATTTGTTCAGGAAATATTCACTGAGCATCTACTATGTGCCAGAACCATGCACTGGTTAATAAAACCATGAAGGTCCTTGCTTTCATGGAACTCATATTCCCATGGAGAGAGTCTAATACTAAGAGCAGTAGTAGTAGTAATAGTAACCAATAATAACAGCAACAACAACAAAATAATAAGCAAATAATTTTCCAATTTCATATATTATGAAATAAGTAAACAAAGGGTTGCAAAAGGACAAAATGGATAAACCCGTTCTGACTGATATAGAGCTATTTTTTCTTTGTTTTGTTTTGCTTGGTTGGAAGAGAACGAGCACAGCCACAAAAACAAAAACAAAGCCGAAAAAATCCACAAGGTGGCAGAATGGAGTTCATCACAAACAGTTGCAGAAGTAAACTTGAATTGCTGCCAAGGAGTAGACTAAAAGATGTCCCCACCAGACCAGCTTAAGTTAGTTGCTTCATGACTTTATAGGTGTTTAGAACTCAAAATTTTATTTTTTTATAATTATCTTTTTACCCTTAATTCCTGGATTTTCCTTTCCCAACCTGCTTGGTATGGAAGTCTAAAGTTATTCTTTTTACCCTACCTGCATTATAAAGAGCAGAATCTGATTGCTGACTGCCTACACATCTATAGATTGGAAACAATGGTTAAAAAAAAAAAATCTAGTTTTCTCTGCTTTGGCCACGTGGGCTCTGATCCCAGGCATGGACCTATACCACTCTGTTAGCAGCCGTGATGTGCTGGCGGCCCACATATTAAAAAAATAGAGGAAGACTGGCACAGATGTTAGCTCAGGGTGAATCTTCCTCAGCAATAAAAAAAAAAAAAAAGAAAGACAAAACTAGGCTAATGCATTAAGAATATTTTATCATTTATTTTTTTCCCATCATAATTGTTTTTCCATAATACCTACTTGTTAATGCATACCTTGTATATTGAAGAGCTCTGTGGAATGGATGGGCCAGAAGATAAAACAGAAGCAAATAGAGTTCAAATCCAAGCACATAGCATAGAAAATAAATAAAAGGAATCTCTCAGGGGCTGGCCCCGTGGCCCAGTGGTTAAGTTCTCACGCTCCGCTGCAGGCGGCCCAGTGTTTCGTTGGTTCGAATCCTGGGCGCGGACATGGCACTGCTCATCAAGCCACGCTGAGGCAGCGTCCCACATGCCACAACTAGAAGAACCCACAACGAAGAATATACAACTATGTAGCGGGGGGCTTTGGGGAGAAAAAGGAAAAAATAAAATCTTTAAAAAAATAAAAAATAAAAAATAAAAGGAATCTCATTGGTCCAGCCTCAAGGTCCATTTACTACAACATAAATAGACCGTTACTATGCCATTACTCCTCTTAGCTTACTATATTGAAACGTGTCAGGGACTGTCTCTTTTCTTCCTTTAATTGTTCTGTCTTGGTATTTGTCCAACTCTAGCCAGGAGAGGAGTGGAACCAGCCTTACAAACATAAAAACAACTAATTATAATATAGCAAAAAAGAAATTAAATCATCTTTCAGAAAAGTGGGAAGAAAAAGATTGCAATTTGTAAGAGACAGAGAGATTTCAGGAAAAATTCATAAAGGAATTAACATTTGATTCAAGCCTTCCACAATTACTAGGATTTTTCTAGGCAAAGAACAAAGGGGTTGTGTGCACCTCACACTTATGGGACAACATGCATTAAACCATAAAATCATAAAATGTCAGGATGTGTCTGGAGAATGGTGAGGAGTCAATGTGCCTGAGCACGGGCTACACAGAAGAAATGTAGATGGTGGATCTTGAATGGCATAATAGGTATCTCTTTTGACTTGGCTTGGAGTGGCGGGTAGTTTATTACTGATAAACATTGACTCAAATACTGTTACCGAAAGTTTCCCTTGAGATCTAATATTTTTTAACCTGCCAAGAATGTGGTTAGACATGCTTTCTCATGGAGTTGTACCTTCATAGTTTGAGTTTCAGAGATGATGTCAGCAGTATCATATCCAATTGCAAATTTACTCTATTATCCAAAACTGCAAAAGCAAATGACAGTGACAAAACCTAACTTCTTGGGTTAGTTTAATTGTGAACGTTTCTTACAAATGTGTGCTTTAGGGGCACTTGATTTCAGATCTAGCAAGTACAGGAGACGGAAAAGGTCTATGTGTGGAATGAATTCTGGACTAACTGAATGGGCTTAGGGAGCCTGAATTGCTTTAGAAGGTTGCTTTGAATATCATTTCAAAGAGATGGAAATGTACTTTGTCAATTGTGGGAATATTTCTTTCATATCCCCCAAAGAATCAAACACTTCAAAATCTCACTTTTATCAAATATTATTTCATAATGATGCTCTTGTCTAGAATGTTTCCCTAATTAGTACAAAACGAATTATACTTTGGATTTTTGATGTGTTTAAAATTTTATATTAACAAGTATTAAAAATCGTCATGCATGGAAAACAGGAATTGAAATATTATTTTCATCATTAGAGTACGTACTTTAATTTATATAATTCAAATTGACATTGAATTATCACAGTAAGTAGATATCTATTTTTCAGAAATTTTATTACATGCCTAAATTGAGTTTTATCATTTATTTAATTTCCATAGAAAATTTGGCATATGTTTTTAAAAAGTGAGCATCCAAGAGATCAATCAGAATAAACATTTCTCTTTTGTTACCTTCATATCCCCAATTGCAGAACTGAAAAAATATCACTTATTTTCCATTAGAATAATGAAAAGTTTGATAACATATTTCCTACAGATTATGTGTGAGCCGTAGAAAGAGACATTGAATGAAAATAAAGAAGAAATGAGAAAATTGAAATGGGAAGAATTTTGGAATGGGGGGCTAGAGGTAAGTTTTCTTTCCAAACTCCTTTAGTTAGGTGTCTCTGATGTAAGAGTCAAGAGAATGGACTTTAATTAATATTCTGCCACAACCCAGTTGTGTGGTGTTGTGAAAAATCACAGACTATGAGAGATGCACAAGACTTTAGAAATCGTTTACTACAACGTTTTTGGAGATCAGCTAAGGCATAGAAGGTATCAATGAAGGTTACGCATATATGCCAGGAGTAGAAACCAATTCCCCTCAGCTGGTCTAGGATTCTTGCGACAGAACATCTCTGTCTCTTAAAATAGTACACGTCTTCTCTGTGTATCTGTTGCCTCATTTATAGAATAAATAGTTTAGACATGAACTTCTGTAAGATTCACAACAATTTTAGAATTTGTGCTATTTGCTCACTTTGTGCCACTAAATGTATATTAAACCATTTTAACAGTATATATAGTTATATAGTTAAAATTACAGAGACTTGTGATGGGAAGTAAATTGAGAGGGGATATACAGTCAAGAGTCTGGACACACTTTATTTCTGACAGATTTTAGTTCTTTTTGGCAGATCCATTTATTTTCTGCCTCACAGTTCTCAGAAAAAATTTTTTCCTTCGAAATTAAAGCACAGTTATTTTCTTCAGCATCCCCAGTAATTTTTAATCTGTGGAGCAAAAGAAAAAACTTTCTTAGTGTTTGGAATTTTCTCACATAATTCTCCTCAACCAGCCAATATTTTCTACAACTTTCAGGAAGCAATGAGATGCTTAAATATTAAGCATAGAGAAAGTATACAGTCACAAATATAATGGCATAAAATTTTAATGTAACGCTAATATGAAGTTCTAGAACTTTCAAGTTCATCTTCACTGGACAAGAATCCTTCTAACATGAAATTTTGTAATGATGCAAAACAAGAGAAGCTTTGGAAATTGGGAATTGAATCTCTTTTTTCTGGTATTAACATGTCATGTGAAAAGTTTCTTCACTGAGCCTCAATCTTCTTAAATATACAGGATATAACCGCCTAATATTTGGAAGAGGCATTAAAATGATGTCCTTGGAAGTGTGGACATGTTTAAACAAAGAACGTGCTCAAAAAGTAATAAGTACACGGAGGGTGCTGGATATATAGGGTCTACAGAATTTGCATGCAGTTAGGAAAAGAGGCTCAATACACATCGTACGTAGTCAGAGATTCCTTTTTTTCACATTCCAAACAGAGGTTGATTGGTGTCTGCTTCAATATACTACTAGTTTCAAACAAGCGTGAGTCTTATGGCTCACTGCAGGTGGACATGAGAATAGAAGTCAAACAATGGGATAGGCAGTATTAGGATTGGGTTGCAAGGATTAGAGGAGTTCAAGACCCATCCATTTGTCTCAAATAGAAAGTGAAGTTGTGACCGTGGGTAGGGTTCCATCACAGCTTTTGTTTTTTCTTTTGTTCGGTTTCTTCACGCAGCCCCCTTGGAGCTGAGCAGCTAATCTCTTCCTAATGCGGACGCTCTAGTCAAACTATGAACTGCTGTCAACTGGGCTATTGTAAAAGTCTTCTCTATTTTTTTCATCTCTTCTACCTTTCTGATCTTTTCTTCAATTTTCAAGATAACTTTTTTAACACTCATCTTGCCAAGTCGATGAATTCCTTTCCAAAAGGTGCTCAGTGGCTTCCCAGGCCTTTCTTGACTTGATATCTGCCTAGTTCTCCAACATTATGTCATTTAATCCCCAAAACAATCCTGTGGAAGAAAATTATCACTCTCTGTTTTTTTCCTTCCCTGAAGATCAGGGCTGAGAGTTAAAATAAAAGCAGAGTCTAACTGATGCCCTTTCTACTATAACATGACACCTTCAGGTTTACCTATCACTACTGTTTTGATCACGCATCATTTTTATCCTCAAAATAAAATGGAATGTTCAACTGAATTTAATCCATCTACTTTACCTATATTTCTGCTTGTAGAAACTTCAGTGTTTTGCAATTTCATTTTTATTATAAACCTCAATAAAATAAACGTCATGGCCCAATGAGAAACACACACACACATACATGCTAAACTTAATAAACCAAAATTAACCTTCACTATGTATGAAAAAATAAAAACAAGCCAGTATTGAAGTTTCATTTACATGTAAATGAAATATAGAAAATAATTCCCAGAGAGCATACAAAAAATCAGGATAGATTTTATTTAACAGAATGAGCATGTTTGCCTTTTCATAAATTTATTTCAGTCCAGAACACTTACTTTAAAATAATCTTTATTTTAAAATAAAATAAATAATCTTTATATTAAATAAATAAGATAAATAATCTTTATTTTAAAGTCTTACGTTTAAAATAATATTTTAGAACATAGGTCAAATAATGTCAAAATTTGCTAATTAAGCCATTTCTTTCAATGTTAGTACTTTTCCACACTTAACGAGTTATCACTATATTTTAGATAAACTCAGTCCTGTGTTTTCAATTTCAACCTCTTGTCTTTGGAATGATAAAAACCTACTTTAACTCTGATTTATGCATATTTGATTAAATCATTCACAGACATAAAATGTAACAGTTAATGTTCTCTTTTCTGAAAAACTCATCAAAAATTCTTTACAGAATCTTGGTTGAATGCCTATACACTTTTGCCTGAGAGGGAAAAAACCCCCTTTGCTGTACAATTAACCTCGAATTCTGTTAAAATATGTAATTTAACTGTATAGCATCAAGGCTTCTATTTCATTTATGGTTATTTTGACCATCTTACATAAAAAACTATAATGAGACATCCAACAGAAAACAGCAAATGGCTCCTTTGTGACCTATGCATATATTTGTCACATCTCCTCAAATAACTCTTTTATACCACTGGTTAAAATATACTATAATATTTGTCACAGTGTGCTTAGTTTCCTTTAAATGTCTTGGTTCTATACTCTGATATTGTCTAATTTATTCTTTTCATATTCACGGTTTCAATCCTGGTTGTAACCTACCATGGTATATTGTCCCATAGTTTGAAAAATTCTACTTAAAAAATTCTGTGTGCCAATAGCCTCCAGTGAGAGACTTTTGTATTTCATGGGCCCCTCCCAAAAGAGTTAGCCTATTCTCTGTCTCCTACGACTCCACTGTAGATAAATACATATATTGTTGTAAATGGTTGATATCTTTTCATGTACAGAATTTTTCAACCAACCTCAGAATCATCCATCTTCTTAGCCTATTCTGAACCTCTTGAGAATTTCTAAACTAAACTAAAATTACAAAACTCAATCTTCAATAACCATATTAATACCTCGCAATGTAAACTATGTAAATTAAACATTAAAATTAGCTTATCTAATACTCACGCATCAGGTTTTAAAAAAGAACCATTTATCCACCTCCAGTTCTTTTCTGGTAATGTAAAATTTAATCCAATCCAGTATAGAATTCCTTCATGTTCTATCAGTTTTTGTATGAGTTTCTGTAAATGGAACAGAAGAAATGGCTGAATACAGAATCTGTTTCACGGCTTGTATTCTACTCATCCTCTAAAACCCAGTGCAGGTATTGCCTCTGTGAAGCCTTTCCTAACTCTGCATCAGAGTTAATTATTCCTTCTTTGTGACATTTCTCTTTACATATTTATATTTATATCATTGTATTCATCAAATTATATTCATTTATTTGCTCATCTGTCTGTTTAGTCTCTCAGATTGTGAGCTTCTTGAAATCAAAGTTGCTACTTCCATCTGCATAGAAATTTTAGGCTAAAGTCCAAAGATGCTGATATGATTAGAAGAAACGGCTAGGTTCTATTCAAATATTTTATTTAATATTTTACCAATTCTTCCTGATCTCGAATAAGCAGCAAAATGGATTCTTTTGTGGAACAGTCAGCTAGACTGTCATTCCAAGGGCTAGGATTTTGAGAAATAAACAAGCATTTTTCTTGAATTAGATGCCAATCCGTTGGGCAGTTTAACAGATTTGGTCTCTCTAAAGTAAGAAAGAGAAAGAAAAAAATAAATAATAAATGTTACACTTCTAATCTGTTCCCACCCCACCACAACCACACACACACACACATCATTATAAATGCTCAGAAGTCTATTATCGCTGATAGAATAATCAATGAATTTATTACAATTTTGAAGTTTTTGAGATCTATTGTTCATTCTGGTACCAAGAATTTGGAAATTAGTGACATGTTATACTGAGCAAAAATGGAATCTTAGAATTTTAGAATAGGAAAAAGACCGTCGAAATAATTTGAGCAGTCACATCTTAAATTTTAAGATAGACAGAATAACTTGTTCGAGTCCATACAATCAAATAGTGGCACAGTCAAAACTATTTCTGAGTTGCCTTAAATTCGTCACCAGTGCTTATTCTATTACATGACCAATGTCAAACTTGTCTTAAAAATACTTACTTTAAACAATATGCAAAGTGTAAAGGAAATAATTAATTTTACTAAATTAATGAAAAATGCCATGAGAAAAAAATCATAAGAAAATTTCTAATTGCCAAATAATATATTTGCCTACTTAATGTGACTTATTGGATAGCATTTTCCAGAAAGATTTTTCAGATTTCTTAAAATTTCTGTTCTGTAAGAATGTGCACACATATCACATTTTGCTACAGTCATTCAACAATAGTTGTCTTTATTAACACACACCACTTACTGGAACAAGATTAATGTCTTAATAATTAATACAGTAAATATTAAAGTATTTTATGTTTGAGTTCTATTAATTAACTTCAGACCAAAATTAACTGTTTGACATTCACTAAAGTATCAAATATTCTACTTAAATGCATATTTTACTTTTAACTTGATATTTGTCTATTAGTTATTGAATATCCTAGCAGCAGCTTTTCATGAGGCAGTGTGCTGTCAGCGTGATCATAGGTTTTGAAGTTAGACCACCTGAGCACAATCCCCTGTGTCACCACTTAGTAGTTGTATGACCCTGAGAGAGTTGCTTATCCTTGCCATGCCTCAGTTTTGTCAAGCATAAAATCAGGTGATAATACTGTCTTAACATGTGGGTTGTTATGAGCCTTAACTAAGGTAATGCTTGATATCTAACAAATGTTGGCTGTTATTCTTAGGAGATTCAAGTCGCAAAATTACCTGTTGTTTCGTTCCTTCTCTCTTGAATATCCACACTGCTTTTTTCTATTGATGATTTTTGTCCTAAGAATATCACTAGTAAATATGAAGAAACCATTAAGATTAAATGCTGAAATGTGTGGTGGAATGGATGTTATCTTTATCACTTGAGAAAACTAAGGTATCTCGATAAGCTTGAATATGGACAGAAGATTAAGGCAATAGCAATGTAGTAACAGAGTCTAGTTAGAAGACAGTATATACAAACAGACAAGAAAATATATAAGTGAACCCACACAGCCATTAGGTTACCTGTTACATACTGCATAAGCAAGCTTTGGGGTGTTACTTAAACTCTCAAATTGCTTACACTCATGCCTGAACTTTCTCATTTTCAGAGTGAGTATAATTTATGCCTATACCAAGGGATAGATTGCCTACTGCAATCTGAGATTTAGTAGATAGTTAAGAAACTCTAAATAATTGGAATTTTTATTTGCTTTGTTATTGTCATGTTTTTGTCATAATTACGATCTTTTTTAAAGTTGTCAGAACACGTGTGAAATATCCCATGAAGACTATCAGAACAATTGGGAAGAGAAATGTGCAAAGGAAATATGAGCTGAGCATTGTTAGAAGCATTATTTTGTAATTATTCTTATTTCATTGGTCTTTCATTGTTTGGGGTGGCAAAATTTTGTTAAGATACTCTAATATTTATGATAAAAGCAAAATAAGTAGAGCAAGAAACAAATGACCTTGCATCACTCACCTGAAACACTCAATACAATCACAGTCAAGGCAAGAAGAAGAATTCCAGCACAACCAAGTTTCAGAGCAAATTGATGCCAACGTGGACACTGACAGATATCTGAGAAGTTAAGAAAATATACTCAGTTAACTCAGTTGGGTTCATCTGGTACAAAAAGTGAATGTGGTTTGGATGACATATAGATAGATAGATTCAGGCTGAGGGATGGGGGCAGGAAGGAACATTTATCAGCCATCTTAAAGTAGAGTCCCACAAGACACAATCTTAGTCAGATCCAACCGAGAGTTTGCTCATTTATAAAATAGAAATATTTATGCTTGTTATGTGTATGGAAGATTGGTGTCAGAATCAAATGAGACAGATGTAAACATATTTTGAAAATTGCCAAGTGCTATACAAAAGTGAAGCATATGCCCTATTGTAGGAAGTAAATCAAAGAATTTTGTGTAAAAAGGATGGCCTTCATTTATTCAAGATACATTTTTTGAGGCTCTATTTTGTGCCAATCACCATTTTAGGTACTGGTGATATATGACAGTTCTATTCTTGGACATGGATTCCTCTGCTTTACTATCATCTAGAAAAATCATCTCCAACTAGCGTCAAATGTATGTCATTCAAGGAAGAGTGTTTTGTGAATTTGCACATTATTTTCAGTATTTCAATAATTATAACGTGAACTTACATCTATAATATTGCGTAGTCTAAAAAAAGTCAAATGCCTTTGTTTTTCTCTGTAATCATATCAATAACAATATACTCTATTATTCATGTTCATCAAAAGTTGTGATTATGTTAATTAATTAATATAATGGGATCATAAATTACTCACGACTTTATCAATGTATTTTGCTTCTAGACATCTTTAAAAATATGGATTTCAGGAGCTGGCCCTGTGGCCGAGTGGTTAAGTTCGCGCGCTCCGCTGCAGGCGGCCCAGTGTTTCGTTGGTTCGAATCCTGGGCACGGACATGGCACTGCTCATCAAACCACGCTGAGGCAGCGTCCCACATGCCACAACTAGAAGGACCCACAACGAAGAATATACAACTATGTACTGGGGGGCTTTGGGGAGAAAAAGGAAAAAAACAAAATCTTTAAAAAAAAAATATGGATTTCATAGAGCAAAATAATAAAGGCACTTACTAATAAAAAAATTCTTGGAAAATACTGGGCTAAAAGTTCCAAAATTAAATCAGCTCCAACAGAAATTATTCTTGTTATTCATACATTTACTCTGCCTCAAGTTGTGTTTAGATAGCTCCTATCCTCAACTTAATTAGTAAGACCCATTTTTTTCCCATTTGGTTTATAACATGTTATATATATTACAACTTGAAACTTGGAAAAATGGAGAAAGCTCCATATAATCACTATTTTAACATTTATTGCTGAAGTATACCGGTGGTTAAGAGCAGAGGCTGTCAAATCTAGCAAATCTGTATTTGAGGACGTTAGTTTGGGCAATGTAACCTAAAAATAAACTGCAAATTTCCGCACCTGTGGAATGTAGAACAATATCTACCTTATAAGCTTTTGGAAAGGAGTATGTGAAACAATTCTAAAATGCTAGACATAGTGTCTGGTACATAGCAACTGTTCAATAAACGCTAGTTATTGTTTTTTCTAAAAGCATTTTTAAAAAATTATAGGTAAAAGGCAATTTGGAATGACTTTAAAAATATTCATTTTTGCTAAAATTTAAGGAATTGAGTGGAGAGTCCTGTGCCTGGGAGGTATGCTTTCCTGTATTAAGTTTTTCTGCTGCACTACATGAGATTGGAGTTAATGAGGTTATAATAACAAACTGAAGAGGCCAGGTAAACTTTAATTATCTGGAAATACTCACTTAGGGCTATTCTTTGTTTTGGTAAAAACAGTATGTTAACTCACCTCATTCCATTACTCCAAACCTTTCAATGGCTTTCTATCAAGCAGATCTGAGTCTATAAAAGTCTATAAATTGTCTACAAATCTGTATTCAATCTGTCTCCCCATTATTTCTCTAACTTCATCTCTTGCTGTTCTTCATATATATACGTGCTGCCATTTCACACTAATCTCCCTGCTCCTCCCACAATATGACAGGCAAGTTCTCATCTCTAGGATTTTGCACTTGCTGCTCCAACTTCTAGAAGGGTCTTCTCCCAGAAAGCATGCCTTTGTTCTTCATTTCTTTCAGCTCTTGATCCAAATGCCATATTGTCAAGGAGGCCTTCCATGATTATTCTGTTTGATACGGTACCCTCTCCAAAAACTAAATCCCAATTCCATTTATTTATGTTTCTTGATTGCACTTAATACCATTTAATCTTTTAATATATACCTAGTTGTTTGGTTACGTGTATGTGTCCATAGTAGTATAATATAAATACAATAAAGGAAACTATTTTTTCTCCATTTTGTTCACTGCAGTATCCTCAGCACCTAGAGCCTTCCTGGCACATAGTAGGTGCTTATTTTTGAATGAATGAATAAGCTCTGCAGGCTTTTTGCCAACACCTTATCTACTCTTCTAAGAGATCAAACTCTTGGCCATAAACAATATAGGTCACCACTCACATCTCTCACTGGTTTTACTGCCTGCCTTTGATACAATCATTTTTCTACATGGTTACCACGGTCGACAGGTTAGCCAAAGAGCTCAGTTGTGGTTTCACAATAATTGTAATACCAGATCAATGTTTCATAATCACACAATTTTCTCGGACTTTATTCTACTATTTTTTTTTCTGATTTACTTTCAGGATGATATTTTATAGCACAATGATTACTATCAGACTAGACAAGTTTTCTGGACCCATTGATTTAGGATCATAGATAGTAGTTTTCAAGGAAAAACTCACTGTCTTTTTCTATATCTATTTTTTGACATCTCCTTTCAACATTACTTCCCTTCTGCCCAATTTTGCTAGATCTGAACAGAGAAAAAGAGTCTTGCCCTTTCCCATCAGAAAATAACAGCGGCTTGAGCAAACGCTCACTGTGGTTATCAAAATCCTCCAATTTCCCTTAACCTTCATATGAAGAGTATAGTGAAATTTACTCTTTTTTTCCTAATTTAGAATGTTGATAATTTAATGGTTTCAAACTGTCCAAGAAGATACAATCTACATGCTTAGCACAATGTAGAATGAATGTCAGGATGGATAAAAATTGCAATATTATCAATGTTAGTAAATTTGTTTAGACTTAAGAAGGTAATACTAGCTCATGATAATTTTATACATGTTTTATGCCTAGTTTCTGGTCCCTTTTTATCCATTCCCAGGCCATGGCTTCCATCACCTATTACCTTGCATTACAGTTCCTCATTCCTTTCACTCAGAATACTAACTCCTCTGACACACAGAAAAGTGCTGACTTCAACAAATGTCAAATGTGTTCATTAGGATTATTCTCTAGTGTCTTGTGGCTTTATCTCCATCTAAGCTGTGATACTTTTCAAGTTAGAAACTATCAGATTGTAATTACATTCAAGTCTTGATCTTCATTACAATTTTCTTCCAGAAGTCTTTTCTCCTTCCCTTTGGAGAGTGAAGGACGTTAGTCAGTAAGCCCACACTTTGTATTCAGAAGGGAGTGCTATGGATGCAAATGCACTAGAACTTAATCATAGTATTGTTATATAGTAGAGGGATTTGGAATAAGTTAGGTTACTATTAGAGCAAGGTAGCAATGTGTCTCTAAAAATATTCCTTTTTTCATACATGTAAAATATTTCTTCAGGGTCTTTTAACCAAGGCTCAGTAATAGGAGCCAGGTTCACCCTTCACACTGATAACTTGATAAAAAAGAAATCTATGAGGTATGTGCTTTTCTGCAGAGTTGCGATTGCTTCCAGGCAATCTATCCTATACCTATTTAACATTAATATAAGCCTGCTGCTCATCTTCAAAGCAACAATTTAAAGCCGTAAATTTAAGAGGAAAATCTAACTCTGAAAGATACACAAATGCTACAGGAAAAAAAGCCACTTACCCTGAGGAGGAGACGGGGGTGATGAACTTTTAAGGCCAGAATCCCGGGGTAAGTTTAAATCAGCATATATCACAGGTCTGTCCATTGCAAACAAGAGAATGTGGCACCAAACTCATGTATCAGGGCAAACTCCAAGTTCTGTGAGGCAAGTTCAGCAAAAGGAAGTGCCCAGTCTGAAATGCTGTGTTGTCTCTCTTGTATCCCCACCCACCCACACTTCTAGCTGTGAGTTTTCTCCATAAATTAGTGAGACAATCCACCTACTGGGTGTCCATTATACTTAAACACGTAATATCTACTTTGTTTAATTAATTGGTCCATTGTTTGACAAAATTCTAGGAAGGTTTGTTTGCAATTATTCCTCTAACCATTCCTTCTGATTACCTCTCTTGGGGCCAGGACCAGGGTGAGGGAAATGCACTCTCCCAGGGTGCAAATTTAAGGGGCCTCCAAAAAACTCAGTAATCAAGATAAATAATATTTAATACAATGTTGTAAAAAAAAAAAAGTTAATGCAAAAAACTGTAGGATGCCTTTCTAATCTCTAAATTCTTCCTGAAACCTTTGTGCTCCAAAGAAAGTTGCAAAATGTAGAAAGCGGTGTTTGTAAAGGTGGAAAAGGTCCCTGAAATAATACAATAGAAAAAGCAAAGAGCTAAAGATGAATAGACTACTCTTAGCTTAGCTCTAAAGACACACGTGAATATGTCTCCACATAAGTAAAAGAATTGGAAATCTGCCAGAATTATAGAAAGTGGAGAACTTGAACTTATGGAATTTCTTGTCTCTTTATAGGAATTTCAGGCATAGATTTTTTAGAACAGGACCCTAGATGCCACCACGTCTGGCATTCTCCCATTACAGGTGAGAAAAGAAAACCCCAGGGATTTCCTCAAAAGTCGCTTCCTGTGATCACGGCAGAATTGTACCAGGCGCTCCAGTTATTGGACAGTGGAAGCAGTCTTCTGGCTTTGTACCCCAGAAGATAAGAAATTTTCATTCATAGCAGAAAATTTTCATTCTGTGCCTGTCATAGAGGTATACACTTATTCCTTAAAGATCACTGATAATTATGAAGGGAGAAGTAAGCATATGTGAGAGTTTAATCACCGAAGAAGAAAAATATGAAGATTATAATTTATGCATCTTTAAGATGACAGTGGGAAAACCAAAAGTGATTGCTGCTTTTAGAAACATATGAATCATTATTATGAAAATATAACCAGTATTCTTGGTAATACTCCTCTGAACTTGAGTTAAGGTTTCTAAGATATTTCTATTATTTTTTTGTGAGAGTTTAATTTCTAGCGTGAAGCATCAATGCCAACCCACCATTGTTTAGAAGATGGATGTTTTACTCTCTAAAATATTGTGAAAGTCTTGAGTATTATATAGTCAATAAAACTAACCTAGGTTGATTATGCCATTGTATGCACTCTTTAGTTATTCAATGAAAATGTTTATCTGACGATTTTGTAACTAACAATTGCTTTATTTATGCTATGATATTTGGTTCTGCCTCATACTTCAGTTAAATTTTTAGCATAAACACAGTCTGCCAGAATTACGAAAGAGTGTCCTGGGTCATCTATATAAAATAGTGATTCTCGAGTTTCAGTATATTTAAGAATTACCTGAAAACTTGTTAATAATGTAAAATCCTGCCACATATACTCCTTCCCTTCCCAAGGTACAGTTAGTCTGAGGTTGGGAATGTGCTAAAAAAGTCATCTCAGGTAATTCATATGACTCATGGGCCACACATAAAGAACCACTCATGTGGCAAGTAAAATGTGTGGGGATATTTTAGAAAGATCAATACAGCCAGTCACCAACTTATAATGGTTTGACTTACAAGTTTTTGACCTTATGATAGTGCAAAAATGATACACATTCAGTAGAAACTGTACTTTGAATTTTTATCTTTTCCTGGGCCAGCAATATGCAGAACAATACTCTTTCACGATGTTGGGCAGTGGCAGCAAGCTGCAGCTCCCAGTCAGGCGTGCAATCATGAGGGCAAACAACCAATACACTTAGAACCATTCTGCACCCATTCAACCATTCTGTTTTTCACTTTCAGCACAATATTCAATAAGCTGTCTGTGATATTTAAGATTTATTATAAAATAGACTTTGTAATATATAATTTTGCCCAACTCTAGGCTAATGTAAATGTTCTGAGTGTGGTTAAGGTAGGCTAGGCTACCTTATGCTGAGTAGGTTAGGTGTATTAAATGCATTTTTGACTTATGATATTTTCAATTTATGATAGGTTTATCAAGATATAACTCCGTCATAAGTTGAGGAAGATCTGTAGCGTGAGTAGAATTGTAGTGATCTAATCAGGAGATTAAAACAGAGCTTTTATTGTACTGAAGTTTAATTTCAAGTCACGAAACATGACTGTGACTACAGGAATCCACAATGACCATGTTAAAAATAACTTATTTGAGGTAAGAGTGTTCCCTTCAAGCAGAAGCTGGCAAAAGCCCATAAGCTGAAAAAATATAAACTAGCTAGAAATACAAACCAAAGAAGAGTCTTTACTTGTTCATATGTAGTATGAAACATATTGATAGACCATGGATGGTTTGTTATAACCATCTTCACAATTATATTCTATCACAAAAGACCTTTTTTTTTTTTTTTTTTACAAAAGACCTTTATTATACAATCATTATTGCATACATATAAAGCAAAACCTTCATGAGAATTCACACCTACAGAATTTTTCTAGTTATGTTAATTGATTCATTTGATCACTTTTGCAACAAAGCGCATTGGAATTCAGCAATATAGTGTCACCACTATATATACATACATATATGTGTATAAATATATATATATATAGAGAGAGAGAGATATTATATCTACACACAAACACACATAATATATATGAAATTAAAGCTAAACATTTCAGAGGGTGAATAATTATAAGTAACTCTGAGATTTAGGATGTGTCAATAGTAGAAATAATTTTGAGTAGCTCAATGAAGAATAAAGATAGATTTTTGACTACATTCCCTATTTTGACATTGAGTTTTGCTAGGTTAAAAGTGAGAGTTGGAGTGAAAAGAAAAATACAGTAAAATAAAAACAAAGTTACTTCTGAATGTGAAGAAGTACAATAAAGGCCAGGAGATGGCTACAACATGGAGAAAAGAGTGATAAGAAAGTGATAAGAGAATCATTTGTGCAAGAAGGTGAAAATACAAGAGGCAACAAGTGGTCATCATGAGACAAGAGAATCCTCTCTAGGCTTAAAATAGAAAAGAAAATGGTGACTTCAGCAAGAAGGCAGACTAGGAAGCCACAGGTCCTCCTTTTCCCACAGAGATACAAAGTTGACAAAAACATATGGACCAGAATACCTCTGTAGGAACTCTAGAAACCAGTTGAGAAGCTACAACACCTAGACCATTGTAAAACCAAGAAGGAATTCCAACAAAAGAGGTAGGACAATTCCCAGCATTTGGTGCACCTGTTAGTGTCCCTTCCTTTACAAGGCATAGTGTGGAGACATAAGGAGGAAATCCTGTATGGAGTGAATCCTCCTTTGAGATGGAAACAAAAGAGCAGATTGTGCATCCAACATTCTGGATTGTCTGGGGGCTACTCAAGGGACTGGTTTCTGTCTTGCCTGACTTGGAGTGCTTATGGGACCAGTGCAAGTTTGGAAGACACTGAAAACAGGCAAGCAGCATGCAGAGCTACAGTTCTGCAGACAGACATGTGAGGAACAAGAGCTAAGAAAGTTTTGAAAAGTCCTAGAACCTCCAACTGGGCTGATTGGTGAAGGTCTTCCTCTTCAAGAAGCCAGTACATAAAGATGGGAAGAGGTGGTTATTTCTTCAAATGCCTAAATCCCATCAAACAAATAAACATACAAAGAAACAAGAAAATGTGGTCCAATAAAAGGAAATAAATAAAATTCTGAAAATTGACCCTAATGGATTTCAGATCTATGAGCTGTGTGACAAAGAATTTAAAATAATTGCTGTAACTATGCATGGTGATGGATATTAACTAGATTTATTGTGGTGATCATTTCACAATGTATACAAATGTCAAATCCTTGTGTTATACACCTGAAAATAATATATTATATGTCTATTACACCCCAATAAAAAATAAAATAGCTGTTATGTAGATACTCAATGAGCTGAAGGAGAATATGGAAAGACAACTTAATGAAAATAAGATTATGAGCAATTGTACACCAACGTATTAGATAACCTTGAGGAAATGGATAAATTTCTAGAAATGTACCAAGACTGAATTGTGAAGAAATATAAAATGTGAAATGATCAACAATGGATAAGATTGAAATAGTATTTTAAAAACTCCTAACAAAGAAAAGCCCAGGACCAGATGGATTCACTGGAGAATTTTACCTAACATTTAAAGAAAAGTTTATACCAATTCTCCTGGAAATCTTCCAAAAACTGCAGAGGATAGAACACTTCCAAGCTCACTCTATAAGGCCAACATTACCCTGATATCAAAGCCAGACAGAGACACTACAAGGAAAGAAAACTACAGACCAATATTCCTGATGAATAATGCAAAAAGTTTCAACAAAGTACTAACAAACCAAATTCAACGGTACATTAAAAGGATTATAAATCATAACCAAGTAGATTTATTCCTGAAATAAAGGGACGGTTCAACATAGAAAAATCAGTAAATATAGTACATCATATTAATAGAATGAAGGACAAAAACCACATGATGATCTCAATTGATGGAGAACAAACATTTGACAAAATTCAACAACTTTTCATGGTAAAAACACTCAACAAAGTAAGAATAGAAGGAAACCACCTCAATATAATAAAGGCCATTTATGAAAAGCTCATAGCTAACGGCATATTCAATGGTGAAAGACTGAAAGCTTTTTCCCTAAGATCAGAAAAAAGACAAGAACATCTTCTCTCACTACTTTTATTCAACATAATATTAGAAGTCTTACACAGAGCAATTAGACAGGTGAAAGAAATAAAAGATCTCCAAATTGAAAAAAAAAAAAGTAAAATTATCCCTGTTCAGAGAAGCTATAATTTTATTTGTAAAAAACCCTAAAGACTCCACCAAAAAAAACCCTGTCAGAACTAATAAATGAATTGAGCTAAGTTGCAGTATACAAAGTCAACACACAGAAATCAATTGCATTTTGTATACTAATGATGAAAAATCT